AGTAAGAAACGCTTTTTACTTACCAAGTAGAAGCTATGAGCAGAAGTGAGTGCAGACTTCGAAGGAAGAAAAGTGAACTTTTTCATTTCAATTCCATTTGAAAACACGAAACTGAGCCCTGAGTAAGGGCCGGATGTTGTGCCCCGTATGGGCGATTTGGTTTACCACTCACAAGACCTGGACAGGTAGGAAGGGCTGCCCCCGCTTTACCCTTCCTCCCCCTTTTCTACACAGATGAGGGAGCTGAAGTCAGAGAAGTTGTCCAGCTGCTGAAGAACACACAGCTGGCAACTGAGGGAGCTGGGGTTTGGCCCCATGTGGTCTGAGTCTGTTGCCATTTCGGACACAAAGCGGGTGGCCGGTGGGGGAGGGCTACTTCTTGCCAGGAATAGAAGTTTAAAAGTTTGTTTTAGGGCCCCCGCATTTCTCCTAGAAATCTATTGAAAGGGCCAGCAGGCCTCGATTCTCTGCCCTTGACCCAACAGGATAAACTTAGCTTTCAGTAGTTTTAGGAAAACAGTCAGCTAAAGAACAATGTACGCTCTTTTAGGCAACAGGTAAGATGGCGCTACAGTTTCATTGAACCCTAATTTGTCCACTTGTCATGTCCTGGGCACTGGGCCCTAATAGGGACTGGGAGGCAATGGGGGAGCATTCTGTTATCTGCCCTCCCGGGCTCGCGTTCTGGTGGTGAAGACAAAAGATGCAAACAGGTGAATGAGCAGCTTTAGGACACTGGCAGTGGGCCCACCTGGGGCAAGTGGGGTGCTGTGTAGAGAAGTGTGCTGGGGACATGCAACCCAGATTTGGGGAGTCAGGGAGGGCTTCCTGGAGGCAGTGGCATCAGCTGGGACTGTAAAGGTGACTGGGAGTCCCCATGTCGGGTAGCCAGGACAGCATGTGCAAAGGCCCGGGGACAGGGGCATACAGCACATTGGGGGACCTAGAAAAAGTCCATTATGGCTGGAGTGTGGAAGGCAATGGGGAGTGGGTGGAGAGGGAGGCAGACCAGATGAGACGTGCCCCAGGAGGTGTTTGGAGGGTCTTAAGCAGAGGACCGACGCGGTCTGATTTGTGTTACTGAGAGGTCGTCCTGGCAGTGTGTGCAGAGGAGATTGAGGGGCAGATGGATTCAGAGAGATGAATAGAAAGGCTTTGCGGGGCCCAGCCGAGAAGTGATACTGGCTGAGGTTTGGGGGAAGGCAGGAGTTAAACAGAATCAGAGGAGTCAAGAGACACATTGCAGTTTAAAATCAGTGAGATTTCATGCTCAGTTAGACTTCTTCACTCACGTATTTGCTGAATGTGCCGAGTGCCTACCACGTGCTGAGCATCGCTATTGGGAATACACGGTATGCAGACAGGCCCCGGCCTTCCCCAGGACGACGGGTGGGACAAGGCTGAGCATGTCCTAGGCCATGGGCGGGAACGGCATGTGCAAAGGCACTGTGGCCGGGGTAAGGAGAGAGGGACCCTGGAGGTGCCCCAGGTGCTGCGGTAGAGGAGGTGGGCATGGAGGAGGAGAAGCAGGCGGGGGGGGGGCAACCTCTTCCTGCCGCCTGGAGGCGCTGTGGGCACCCGGGAGCCGAATCCCACCAGCTGTTGGCCATGAGATGCAGATGGGGGATCCTCATCGTGTAAAAGTCACTGGAGACAGTGGAGTGGACGAGACGGCCAGCGAGGGTGTAGAAGGGTCGAGAGCACTGCGGGTTCTGAGGCCACAGGTTCAGAGCACCACCACCTCCGGTTCTGTTCTCCAAGGAGGCCTCGGACTTGGTGTTTGTATTCCCACCTTTCAGAATGGAAATCAATCATCCCTTTTCTTGACACGTTGCTCAGGGGGCAGTTTCAGGGGACAGTGACCTGACGGTGAGGCCTCCACAGCCTCCTGTGCATGAGCATCTCACAGAGAGCCCCCTTCTCTGCTGCTGTCAAGTCACCCCAAGGCTTCTGCGATGGAGGCACGTCAGTCAGCCCGTCAGAGCGCGGGAGGGAGGGAGGCGGCGGGCGGCTAGTCACAGTTTTGTGCTGTGCTGAGAGTGTGCAAGCCTGGCCTCACTGAGCCTCGTGAGCACCTGCTGAGGGCGCTGCCCTTGTCATCCCCGTGTCATAGACGGGAAGCCAGGCGTGGGGAAGCTGGGGAGCTGGCCTGATGTCCTCCAGCTACGAGGCGTCCGAGCTGGGCTTGGACCCCTGCCCCCCAGCCTGTGGTGCCTCTGCTGCTGCCTGCCCGGGGTGAGCACCGGGGAGGATGGTGGCGCTTTGCTTTGCAAACAGAAGCAGCACCTGAAGGAGAAATGTGTGTATTCGCTACTTGGAGCGTGAGGGGAGCAAAAGTCCCGGAGGCGCCACCCTCGTCTGGGCAGGGAGACGGCCGCAGCGTCTGCTCAGCCGCCCCCTCGAACCTCGAACAGGCCCCATTGCCAGGTGTTCAAGCAGAAGCCGAGACCGTGTGTAGGAGACATGGGCGAGGGTTGGGATTACATGCTTTACAGGGGTCCTTCCAGCTGCTGCTCTGTGAGCCTGTTTCTGGAAAGGCCACGATGCTCTGCAGTTGGGAGTGAGTGTGATTCTGTGTAATTCACCTTTTTCTCAGCAGGTGAATTCAGGGAGGGCAGTTATTGTCCCTAAAGCAAAACGTACCGTCGTGGATCACACAGGAGTTTGTTTGCTCTGATACCCAGTAGACGTTTTATACAGGAGATCCTTTATAAAAACCTTCCAGAATTCCACTTCATCCCATTACAGTGGAATAAAAATGAGCAGTGCAAGCCTGCCAGCCCCTGAACAGGCACTTGGCCTGCACTGTTTCAATTCTTTCCCACACCAGCCCCTTGAAGTGAGTATCAGGCGGGTGTTACAGATGAAAAACGGAAGCAGCAAGGTCTGAGCGGGCTGGGGGGCCGTGGGGGCTGATCGTAGCTGTGCACAGAGAGAGGGGTGGGCCTGGGGCTGACCTCATAGATGGCGGGTGACCAGCCCACTCGGGCCACGTCCTGTTTGACATCCCATGGTCATGCAGCTCAGTAGCAGGTTGGCACCGGCTCTGCTGTTCCCTTAGGGGGTCCCCAGCCATTGTGTGAGTGACACGGGCTCTGGGTGCAGCTGTGAGAAGTGTGCAGGCACCACTGGTCCAATACCAGATAAAGAGGCAGGCTCCCCGCTGTGCTGCTGAGCAAGAGGGGGGCTTTTAGAAGATTGCTGCAGGCCCCTGCCCCCAGCCTCCCCGCAGGCCCAGAGGCCCTTCTGCTGACTCCCCCACCTTCGTTTCTCCTTCAGGACTCAGATTGCCCAGGACTTCTCCTCCCGCTCCCTCCTCCTCCTGACTAAGGAGGGGAAGCCTCCTGCCTGGTCCTCTGTGAGAGGACTTACTGCTGAGACTCCTGGGGAATTACGTTTCTCCTCCTACCCCCAGTTTTTGTGTTTTCTGCTTTTGGGGGACCCCTGGCAGTTTGCCTTGTTGAGGATCATTCGTTGTGGTGGATATACTGGTCTGCGTGTTTCTGATGGGAGGTGAATGTAAATATGGCTAAAGGTTACTCATCCAGCTGTCTACTTAAGCACGTTGGTCAGGAAGAAGATACTTATTAATACATATTCTTTTTCCGATTCACCAAAGTGTTATGTGGCCATGGCAGAAAAATGAGGGAATAGTGAAGTGTAACGATTAAGAAACAGAATTGTGCAGAACAAAGAAAATCAGTTCTCCGTATTCTTACCACCCAGAGAATAGGAACAGTCTACATTTTAACCCATGTTCTGGGGATCATGGTTGATGACAAGCTCTGCTTAGAGTCACCTGGACCTGGGCTACGACTCCGGCCGTCCTTCCTGCTTGCTATTAATAATTACACATGACTCCGACATCGTGCCCTCTCGGTACCTCGGTTTCCCCAGCAATGATGGCAGTGCCGGCCTAATGCTGGGGTCGTGAGGGTGCAGGCAGAGAGCACTGGTGAAGCCCTCAGCACAGGCGGGCACGAGAGTGCTCGGCGAGTGTCAGCCGCCATTATTAGACACAGTAACGACACAGGACCGTGCTGGAGACACCCAGCGTCCAGACGTCGGTCCCCATTACCACCTGCAGGCGACGCCGGGGACTTTCCACTTTGCCATGCCAGCACACTGAGGGTGTCCGCGTCTTCCATTTAGGGCCTGGCGCCTTCCAGCCAGGTAACCAGGTGGCAGGGAGAGTTCAGAAAACAGCCGTCACGCTGCGCTTTCCTGGCTGGGTCTCCGTTGGGGCAAAATGCTCATTCGAAGGTCCTGCCCGAGTGAGGTGGTCAGCTGGACAGGCCCTCTGCCCTCTGGCCCCAGCACACGCCTGCCCTCCTCCTGTCAGCAGCTCTCCAGGGTCCTTCTGGGAGCCAGAGTGCGCGCACACGAATTTGGTCTGACCCCAAACTCGAGCAGAGCTTGTTTTCCGATAACCAGCCTCAGAGGCGCGCCGGCTCCCTGCCCTTTCTGCTGAGGCTTTGAAATGCATGCACATGTGGGAAATGGGAACGGCCCCCGATGGTTTCCATTTGTGCAGCTTTTTGGATGTCGTTTAAGTCATTGGTTTGCCTGTAGGTGTAGAATGCCCAGCTGGGACGCGATGACCTGACGGGAGACTTGGGTCTGGAAGGTGGCACCTGGTGCACTCGCTGTGTGTGTCTTTCCCCAGCGCCTCGAGAGGCTGGCTCGTTGCTCTGAGTGTGTGTGCTCAGCGCTGTCGCTCTCTAAGCTCATGAAATGCTGTCTCCCCTGCAGTATCTGGGTTGTGTTAGGGGCTAAAGCCGTTTTCCTCGCCCTTCTCACATGCAGTGAGCTGAGGTTCGTGGCCGGTCTGTGGTCAGCGCCCGGCACTCCTGCTAAGGCAGGAGAGCTGCTTCCGGAGCCTTTGCGTTGGTCTGTGCTGCATACTTCCCCCAGAAAGACAACTTGGCACCCAGAAAGCAATTTCAGGAGAGAACCCTTCCCACGCCATTGTGGCTCGTGTGCGTTGCTGGGTGAACAGTTTCTGGCAGGGGAACTTGGGTAAAGAGATGGGAAGAGATGCTTTGCGGAGCCTGGGTTTGCAGGAGAGCTCTGGGGAAGACCTGAGTTACCCGGCATGTCTACACAGCAGGCGCCTGCAGAAACGATGGGGAGCTACCTGCCGTCCACACCACCATCTTCTCACGGAACTGAGTTTGTGTTGTCAATGTCAGTTGATCTTTTTATAACCAGCTCCCAGTCCTGAGTCCGCTTGATATTTTTGTTGTGGTGTGTGTGTGTGTATAAGTGTGTGTAAGTGTAAGGATTGCTGTGCTGGGTACAGATATCCTGGAGCCTGCCGGCCTTTTGTAGGACTGCCCCTGACTAGCCGTGTGCGCTCCTGACTCGGGTTCCTAACCGACCTGCGCCTTATTGTTCTTACCTGCATCGGGAGGGGTTTGGCCGAGGGCTGAGGACCTTTCTCCCGCGCGTGTGTCCTGGTGAAGGCTGGGAAGGAAGGACGTTCAAATACCATTTGTGAGAAGCGCATCCAGTCGGGGAATTCTTAAAAGGCCTCCATGGTATTTGGTCCTAGGTTTCCTTTGATTAAGTTCATTTTGTTGCTTTAGAGCTTCGGCCCAGGCACCTCGGGACCGAGTTTTATACCAGGTGTTTCCTTGCAACTTCACGCTCCTTGAGGCCGATTGAAGATGGCCCTGTTTGCTAAGTCAGACTTGCCACCTCCCAATGGCTGCGGCGTTACTGGCGGGCGTCCTGCCGTCTTTGTAGTCACTGTGCAGCATGAGGGTCCTCAGCTGGCAGCACGGGATTCGGGCGTGGCTGCTAGAAGCCGGCGTTACCGTGCTGGTTATAGCCCGAAAGGCAGTGATGGCTGGGGGGAGCTGTGGCTGCATATGTCCCCGCTTGGCTCGTGTCACTGCCTGCCTGTCACACTCGTGTTGAAATTTGACTTTTAAGCAGGGCGCTTTGGAAAATGGAGCTGAGCTACGCCAAGCCGGCTCTCAGTGACTTTTTTCCCCTCCTCTGAGCATTTCTTACCTCCTAATAACTGCGTGTTTTACTTTGTCTAGGATTTTCGGGGAAGACATGTCGGACAAGATGTCTAGTTTCCTGCACATCGGAGACATTTGTTCTCTGTACGCGGAGGGGTCCACAAATGGATTTATTAGCACCTTGGGGTAAGAGCAGCTGATTTCTTGTGTGGCCGGATTGAGGACATTGTACCATCAGCTGAAAAACCGATTTTTCTAAGATAAGCATGTTACCCTCTTGCGTGGCTTTTCCAGGGGCGTTTGGAATCATGAATACCAAGTCCCAGGTTCATTCAGAACTTCTTTTTTCCCTCCTTCTTGTGGAGGGGGGAAAGTGCTAATATGGGCTAAAATTTAAGATTGATATCTGCAGACCCCAAGAAGTGCTTCTGAGCTTCCCAAGGGCTCTGTTGTCAGAGGGTGACTTGTTTGTCATAAAGGCCAAGACCAGAACCTCTCCAAGGCTTGTCTGTCTTTGAAGCAGCAATTTCCTACTTGAAATTGCATTTGAAAGTTACAAATCGCACAGAGCTCTGTAAATCAGGTTTCTGCTCTTTTGTGCCTTCTTCAATTTTTATCCGACTTTTAACGGTATAAATATATTCCATAATGTGCTCATTTGATTATCTTCTCCTTTCTCCTCCTCCTCCTCTTGTCTGGAGGAGGAAATGAGAACTGCAGTAGCTCCGAAGGCAGAGAGAAGCGGAATGGAGACTCAGGGTTAACCCCAGAATCGCCAGGCTCGGGCTGTATTGTCCTTATGGAGAGAGCAGTCGTTAGGCCCCGGATGGCATTGCTGAATTTGGCAGGCGCTGGTCTCAGAGAAAGGGGGGAAGAGGCAGGCTGGTGGCGTCCCCAGGAACCTCATGCTCAGGGCAGCCAGACCTTCCTTTTGCCCATGATGTTATTTAAAGCGTGCTCGTTCTCTGGAATCTGTGCGGAGGGAGCACCCCAGGCTCGCATCCAGGGAACGCCAGCCTCAAGGAGCAAGTCATTGCAGATACAGAATTACAGCAATTGGACCGCGCTGTGGAACAATTTCATTTTCAAAAGTCCGATAGGAAGACGTCATCCACAGCTGGCTGCTCCCCAAGTCCAGCGACCGGCTCTCAGGCGTACCTTTTCCTAACCGCTCGACGCTGAAGACCCGCCCTTCACGATTCACCATCTGGCTTTTGGCAGAGAGGCCCCTGCGGCTTGTGCCGCTGGAGGCCCCGTCCCTCTCCTTGGCCGGCTCCTTCCTTTTCCCACCCCTCATGGTCAGCTCTTGCGTTGTCCTCCTCTTTTTCAGAATAACAGCTGGCAGCGGGGACCACTTCCACGTGCCCTGCGGGCGTTCCCAGCGCTGTGTCAGTGCTGTAACGTCCATCACCCCCATGAGCCCCCAAACAGGCCTGACCATGAGCACTGACTGTCATATCCCTGTTCATTGAGGCGAAACCTTGGGGCATCAGAGAGGTGCGGCCACTTGCTCAAGGTTGCACAGCCATGAAGACGCAGGACCCCAACACCAGTGCTCCTCACAGTGCTCACGGCACTTCCCCGGCTGTCCTAGCCGCCCTTGTCCCTGTCTGCCCATGGCTCTTACCCGGATGCCCTGTTAATCCTCAGTGCTACCTTATGCGTCACCTTCCCTCTGTGGCCCTGATTTCTTGGCGTGGTGCCACTGCCCTCCTGGCCACCCACGCTCACTTCTGGTCAGTTGTCAAGCCCACTGCCAACCCCTGACTCTTGGTGCCTCCTTTCCCCACGTCCTCTCACCTCTGAAGCACAAATTCTTTATAAGAGTCTTCCTCAAATATTATTATAAATTGATGGCAAGGGTCCCCCCTTTTTCCTTAATGTGAGGTGGCTCCTTTTGGAATTTTGGGCTCTAATCCTTCAGACGAGTACTTTCTTCCCTGGGTTCCCTGCACATAAAATTTGAGGATAACTGGAGTAAAAATGGATTTGGAAAATTCAGTTTGACCTTCTCTCTCCTTTAAATATTTTTAACGTTTATGGAGCACCAGCAGTGGGTGACTGTGAGTGACCCCAGGTTTTGTGAGATGCGGCACCCAGGTTCCCAGCTGGGTCCGTTTCTACAGATGGCCGTTACCTCCCCAGGCTTTCATTGATGCGCTGAGCTTTACAGCTTGAGTGTGATTCCCAGGCAGCATCGGGTGGGCCTGGGTCACCTGTGGAGCTTTTGTCCTTGGGTCACGGCTTCAGTAGGCCTGGGGATGCTGGGGACCTGGAATCCATGCAGTTGAGAAAGTCTGGTGAACATCTCCGTACTTGGGAAGCCTGGAGACCAGGGGGTGGAGTGACGGAGTCCCCGTCACGCTGCTGCTCGGTGGCAGTGTGCCAGCCACGGTTCCTTTGTCTCCTCACCTCGACCGGG